TGTCGTTCAAACTCAGGCTCTATAAAGATTAAAGTGTATCAAACAGCAGTAAATATAATGCCTCAAGTCCGTCTAATTGTAAAAAAACGATAAAGTGCATAAGAAAAATGAAATTTCTGTGGAACACACTCAGCCTCTGCAAAGATTAATGTGTCTCAAACAGCACTAAATATAATGCCTCAAGTCGGTCTAATTTCAGGAAATAGAAAGGGAATATGAAATTACTGCTAAAAATGAAATTACTGGTGGGCACACTCAGTCTCTACTAAGATTAAAGTGTCTAACAGTAGTACATATAATGCCTCTAAATTGCAGAAAACAAAATTTAGAATGAACAATAGGATTGTTATTATGGTTGTTTCAATCCGCTTTACATCTATCAAAATGATTATTTCTGAAATAATCATTTTAGAAATAATCACATCATTAATCGTGAAATAATTTATTTCAGAAAAAATTATTTCGGAAATAATGCTCAAGTTATTTCATGAAATAAATTATTTCCGAAATAACTGGGGAAAGTTATTTAACGATTTATTTCAGAAATATTATGTCAAATAAATTTTACCCAGGTCCAATTGGGATCTTCCATGAGAATACTGGGATCCCCCTTCCCCTAATCCTGGGACCACACCATGTTCACAGAAGTCAATTAATATTCATTATTAAATTTGTCATTAAGTTATATCTTTTCTATTTTATTTAGGCTCATTATAGTTTTTTTTTTAATGAATATTCTGATATAAAACGAATATCATTGATAATGATATAAAAGACAATGTTTTTATTCATGATTTATAAATTTTACTCATAATTATCATCATCGTCATAACCTATTTCTTCTTTAATGCTAAATCAGTGAGAGGTTGTCTTTTATAGAGCTTGGACCAGATGAACCTCTCTTGCACCAGCTCTCATCTTCTGTTTCATTCCAATCCTCGCTTTTGGAATGCATCTCACACACTTTCTTTCCAGGAGATACGGGGTCATCTTTTTGATCTTCTTTACTCCTTCCATCTCAGCTCCAAACCAACTGGAGATGGACAAAGCATCTTAATTTGTGTTCTTCTATAATGGAATCTGTCAGTTTGAACTCAAGATTGGCATCTCTAGGAACTGAATCTTGTTCCTGTTCTTCGAAGTGAGGTTTCAGGACTCAAAAGAATATGACACAATAAGAAGGAACACAGATTTGTACATTACCATCTTTGTTCTGTTGATAACCTCTCTTAGGTTGAGGAAGCCTCCCCAGCCTGAGCAGAACATCCTTCCTGGAGCACCTGCATTGCCTTGATTTGATTCTGCATTGCCTCACTTCCTCGTCGATAAATCCAAGATCATTGAGTAGAGCACACAAGTATTTAAAGATTTTCATCTTGTTCAGACTCTCACTACTGACCCTCAATACCTCATAACTCTGTGGGGTGGTTAGGAAGATCTTCCTTAATCTAGGAAGATGGTTGATTTCCATATTAATTGTTCTTAATTCTTCTTTAAGGGAATTAATATTGTTCTGTTGGTCACGATCTTTGTAGGCCAATATGACAAGGTTATCAGCAAATGCAAGGATGGTGTAAAGAGAAGGCTGCATATTCCTTTATCCCAGCTAAGGAAGTCTTTCCAGGCTGCTTTCTTCTCCTTTACAGATCTCTTCACATCTGTCCACAGACTAGTCTCGCAGCATTGAGAACAATGTTTCTATATGCTGTCTATCTCTCATCGCTATCTCATGATCAGGTAGAATTAGGTGACATTCTTTTCATTTCTTCCCAATTGTATTGAGCCATTTCATGCACCTTCAGTCTATATAATAGCTTTTCATACAGCTATAAATAGTTTTGATTCATACTGTCCACAGTTCTCCTCTGTATTGTTCATTCCAACCATTTTTTTGTCCCACATTAACAGATAGTAGTCACTTCCAATTTCGAAGCCTCTGTTTTTTTTTTCTTTTCAACTTCGACATGACCAACTTTGCTATTATTTAAAAATGTTATATGTGTTTAAAAAAAAAAAATGTTTTACTTTCACTTATCTATATATGGAATATATAGTAAGGGACAGTATTGCAATCGTGAAAACTTTCAAATCAAAGTTTTCAACGGAAATACATGTTTTGAAGACTTCTGACTCCAAATAACCAAGTCCCGCAAAATGATCTGTGTGTGAGTGTGTGGTATGTGAACAGTCTAGCTCAAAGACGAAAATTAATATGAAAGTGAAATTGCATATTTAAGGTTTTTATAAGCTTTCGATGTTACAGGATCATTTTCATCAAAATCGGCAAACCAGAAGTGCTATTTTATATAGTTGATTTAATACTAAGATTTTTTCAAACACGGCTCTAACAATTTTGATTAAACTCAGTATATAAGTGTATTATTAGGCAGTTTTTAATATAATATAGGTTTTGTTCTCATAGATGTTCTCTATCAGAGCTTAAATAGCTAATTTTTAATATTGACTTCCTCTAAAGTACCTTTATTTTTTTAATTTGAAATAATTAACCATTTCACATTGATCTCTCATATAAAAGATAGTTAAATATAAAATATGAAAGAATTTGATAATTAACTAAAGGAGAAATAGGATATCGTAACGGAGAATAATTGCAATTTAGGAATCAAAGGAATACAAGCTCACCTGAAAGATTACAACAGGCTTCCATATTATGTTCCTCCAACAATATTATGTTCATATATATATGTGGTTTTCATAAATGCTATCATTGGTATTATTTAATTATATATAATACAGCGATATAAAAATTAAAATTTGTATATATAAGGGTATTTAAACAAATATACATAAATACAATGAATGAATTGTAAATAATTACAGTGTCAATAATTTTTTCTTTCACTTTCTCTTTCTCTGAAAATTCTTATTTCTGCTAAGAAGAGAGTGGTAAGTGAAAGCCGTGTGATGCACGCACCAGATTTTTTAAATATGTTATTATACATAATATGAGAAGAATACCAATGCAAGGCGAGTTGCTGACTGAGCTGGGTTCCACTACGTAATTGGTTGCTGACCGCCTCTGACTCCACTCTGCCTTCTATGGCCGGTCAGCAGAAGGCTCCTGGCATTGATCACTCCCTGCAGAACTGCTTAATCAGGTATTGATGGAACTGCTGCAGCGCTAATATAATATAACAATAAGCATTTGGAATGATGAAATGTTAGCTAGCGAATGGAGAAAAATAAGTGACGTGTCCCATACACGAAAAGGGAGACATGTTTAGATCTATAAACTACAGAGGAATATTTCCGCTTCCGAACATCTTATTTTGCCGTCATCTCCGAATTGTTGAATGAGACTGGTCATTACCAGCCAAACAATATACTGGCCTGACTGTTCCATCAAAGCTCATAAGACTTGCAATTGAACTATGAATGTGTGAAAAAGGTTTAAAATCATCAGAATTTTCATATAGAAGAGGAGTAAGGCAAGGGAATACCTTGGCATGCCTACTTTTTAATATGGCACTAGAAAAAAACAAGATACTCTCAGGTTCAGACTTCAGGTACAGTATGAACAGATAACATTTTAGCATACACAGATGACATTGATATTATAGGGAGATCCAGGCAAACTGTAGTTAAGGCATTCCTTGCTCTGTGAGCTGCTACGAAATGGATGGGACTTATTGTCAATGAAGCCAAAACCAAGCACTTGATATCAGATCAAGCTCCGAGATTGAAAGGCACCAATGTTTCTTATGGGCCTTACAGGTTTGAAGAGGTATCAGAGTTTGTTTAACAAGGATCAATGGTAACCTGCAATGATGATACTGCAGTGGAGCTTAGAGGAGAATATTAGCTGCCAACCTCTGCTATTTTGACTATGAAACAAGAACTACAGAATGACAGAACTACGGAATGCTATTTTGACTATGCTGGACTACAGAACCATCTCTCAAGCAATTGGAGAAGAATAACAAAAGTTAGGATTTACAGAACTCTTCTCTGTCCTGTACTATACTATACTATGGCTCAGAGACATAGACCACAAGCAGATCTGAAGATCAACTCCTTACATTTGAACAGAAAGTGTCATGCCGAATTTATGGTAGTGTGTATGAGAATAATATATGAATGGAGGAAATAATATGAATGGAGAAAGAAACAATCGGGAGCTGCATGACCTATATCAAGAGCCGGACATCTCTCATGTCATCCAGCTTGGAAGACTCAGATGGGTAGGACATCTAGTGAGAATGTCTGATGATCTACCTACCAAGAGAAGTATGATTGAGTCCTTGTATAGTCATCGTAGAGTTGGAAGATGAAGCTGCGGTGAGCAGATTGTGTGGCCCATGATGCTAGAAAATGTTTGAAGGTCCGAAATTGGATGGCAGCTGTACAGAATAAGAGACGCTTGGAGGTTGTTGTTGGAGGAAGCCAGAACCCTTTATGGGTTGTAGTGCTAATGAAGAAGAATGAGGTGAAAGAAATTGAATCAATAAAGTTTAAATAGTTCAGTTAGCAAGAAGGGGAGTATGTAGTTCATGAGTTCCATAAATTACTAAAAATAAGATCATTACACTATTACAAAGAGTGAATCAATAATCAAAAATTAAAATGAATAATTTCCTATGCTAAAAGGAGATTTATAATTAAAGAACAGATATCTATATATGCATTACATTTATTTCAACTTAGCAAAATTAAGTTACGTGAATAATGTGCCTTTTACAAATAACTGAAACTATTGTAAGATTCAAAAGCACTTAAAGCTAAATATTATTTTCAAAAATAATTTGGAATTTAATTCACTTTTCATTTTATTTTTTATAGTATAAGAACATTTTTGTTACTAAATTATGTTTGAAGTATTAACATCTATATCTCTCAAAATTTAGTTTTATGAAACAATTTTCACACATTATCCATCAAGTAATCTAATAAAAATACTAACTAACATTTTATTAAAGATTTACAAACATAAATGATCACAAAGTATCTTAAAAATAGATACAATAAACAAAATCTTAAGAGCAACAGGTACATGTAAAAAATAAAAATAAAATAGGATCACTTCTAATGCTTTCTAGATTGTTTAAAATATAAAACAACAATTAATTTACATGTATTTAACGAAAAAAGATAATCACGATAAGAAGGTCCTAACGGTAGCCTTGATAGCCTGCCTGCAGAGTGGACAATCAGCTAAGCTGTGAGCACAGTTAACACATGTGATCAAGTGTCGGCATGGCAGAAAAACAACACCAACTTCATAATCCATACAGATCTTACAGAGCCGAGCTTCTCTTAACCGTCTATTTTCTTCTTCAAGAGACACTATAAAAGTACGATAAGAAAATAATTCAATAACCAACAAATCAACTATTTCTTACAGTGACAATAGTTATTTTTGTGGACCCTAATTTAAAAATACTGATTCATGTAACTTTAAGATATTTTCAAATAATAATTATGGGAAATATAAAATGAAATACACTTTTAAATAATCTGAACAATGGAACCAATTTTTGAGGTCTTTTAAGTTAATTAAAAAATTCTACAATGATCAAAACTTTATAATAAAATAAGCACTATATTTAACTGCCATTGGGAGGGAGAAAAATTGAAATAGCTTATATTCTTCAAATTACATAAAGGTGACTAAATTGGCTACATTTAACAGATTCACATCAGCATGGAACACCGGTGGACAGGACTGCCTGTTCCTAGGAGAGAAACATGAATTGCAGAATGTGTTAAATATCTGTTATATAAATTCATATTATATGAAAAAAGTTTGGGCCGAACTGATGCCTGGATGCGACACCACGGCCAAATGATGCCACGAATCAGGGACAAAAATATAAAGATATATAATACTCTTGAAAACAATGTTATTTATATCAGTATTCCACTTTCTGAATTTATTCCTTTCCATCTTTGGTTGGACTTTCATAAACAAAAAGTTGTCAAGCAGTATTATTATTTCTAGCCTCAGTCCAATTTACTGTAGTCAGAAAAATTACAAGCTAGTTATGTGGAAGTGCAAAAATATGTTTAGGTATAACAAGTATAACTTGGTTTAACTATGCATTTCCAGGAGAGTTGTTTAATGAGGAAGGGCTGATCAAAAGAAATAGTAATCTGAATAAATTAGTGAGCTATTGCTTGCTCAAACTGGAACAGATTAATGTTGAAAGCCAATATTTATTTGTACCTCTGGTTTACTTACTCTTTCTAGACCCTTTAACAAATATACATCCTGTGGTATTAAAAAATATAGAAACAAACATTATAGGGGCTCTTAGCTAAAACCTCTACAGTGATTTTATTCAGACTGAGCAGAGATCAGGACTGATTTGCTGTCAATTTGCTTGGAAGCAATGGTCCATTGCCCAAAGGGGGCGGGGTGGCTGAATGGGCTAAAGCATGTGCACAGCACCGCGAGTTACCTGGCAACCGGATTACAGATTTGAGAAGATTTAAAAAGTACGAGAAAATCCCGTATAGCATAAAAGGCGAGATAGGGAAGGAAAAAAAAAAAAAAAAAGTCCATTGCCCAATGACTGTCGAATCTAATGAAAGTCCCATTTCCATCTACATTTGATTATACAGCAGAAATAGGATTCTGCAATAGTCACTGCAAGAAAATTCTTTGAAGAATGGGCTAACTGCAGATAGTAAGCTTTTGGCATTCGGATAGCTAACATATATGTGCAAGTTAAATGATCTTAAACTTAGCAGGATAAAGTTAAATGAATGTTTTTTTCAGTTGGCTCTACAGACCTTGTACATCTTTGGCCGCCTGAACTGCAGTTGGCTATCGAGTTTGTGGCATGAAGTTCAGCAGTATCTTTGTTTATCCTATTTATCCGTTTGGTTTTTAGCCTCATACTTGGTCTCTTATCTACTACTCTGGCATTCATTGTCTTGTAAAGGCGTCCTGATGGATTGCTACGAGCTACATGCCCTGCCCATCTTAACCTCCTTGCCTTCATTTCACGAGATATTGACTGACCCGTTTCTTTCAGCAGTTCTTTATTGTTCCTTCTCCTCCATGTGTTAAGATTCTGGTTTCATTATAGCTCCTGTTATCCTATGTAGGACTTTTCTTTCGAATATCTCAATTCTGGTTTCTAGTGTGCTGGTTAGAGCCCAGGTTTCACAACAGTACAGTAGAACTGGCTTAATTACGGCTTTGTACACCCTTATTTTTAGATTTCTGGAGATTTTTCAGGATTTCAGCACCCTTGAAAGGGAGAATAAAAATCTGTTGGCACTTGTTATTCGCTGGTCGATCTCTGTTAGTTGATCATTTATTGAGGTTATTGTGGAGCAGAGGTATTTGAATCTGTCTACTTTCAGGAATGACTGCGTTCAAGAGTTCGAATTTATTTTTCTGCTCAATTTGAAATTTAGCTTGTACTACAGGGTTTTTCAAATTACGGACATTTTACCTCTTTCCACTTGGTCCCTAATTCGGTGGATTCGCTTCAGCCTCTGACAGATTTGATTCTGATCAGAGTATGGTCCGAATCACAGTCTGTTCCATGATAACTCCTTATGTCTTGTATGGAGCTTTGATGCCTCTTGTCTTTTAGCACATGGTCAATTTGGCTTTTTGCTCCTTTAGGACTTACCCAGATATACTAACTTATGTATGTCCTTGTGCAGGAACATTGTACTGCTTACTACTAGACCTTTAGCTACAGCCAGACTAATACATCTCCCTCCATTATCACTGCTGGTTTCGTGAAACTTTAGACCTCCGATGATGGGTTTAAATTGGGTGTCTCGACCTATCCTGGCATTGAAATCACCCATGACTAATTGTATGTCATATTTTGGAGCCTGGTCCACAACTTTTTCTAACTAATCGTAGAAATCGTCCTTCACCTCATCCTCTTTCTTCGGTTGGTGCATAAACGTTAATAATAGTGATATTAAACCAACGACCTCTTACACGCAGCACGCTTATCCTTTCATTAACTGGGGCGAAGTTTATTACTGACTTCCTTGCGGCCGGATTAACTATAAATCCAGTGCCAGCTGTCACATTTTTGTCGTTTTTCCTTGTGCAGAACAGTGTGAGGCCATCTATAGTGGTTTCCCCACCATCTGGCCACTTTACCTCTTGAATGCCTGTTAATGGTATGTTGTACCTTTTAACTTCATTAACTACCATTTGGGCTGCTCCTGGTCTGTATAAGCTCCAAACATTCCATGATCCGATATGGAGTCCGATATACAAAGTCAGAGTTGTTACCATGTTAAGACAGTCAGATTTTCCGAGGCTGATTTTTGGTTTCCAAATGTGATGTTTTTGACGGAATAGGATTATTAGCCCTATGCCCAATCCCCAATTTGGAGGGCCAGGAGCTACGTCTGCCACACGCGACACTCCCCTCCCTGTGGTATGAGTTGACTCCAATAGGCTGATGCGTTTCACATACCTGAGGAGGAGGGGAGGTATCTCGGGCAGCGTGTCTTTCCCTGTTGGATGGTCACCCATCCAAGTACCACACTCGACGTTGCTTAACTTTGATTACCTATTGCAAGTGCCTTAGTACTTAACCCTGGCCTACCTCCCTCCCCACGCGTATTTAATTATAAACAAATAGTTAAAGCATGTTAAATTTTGGGGTTAACATGATCTAATGACCTAAAACTAAATATTAAATATACACCCCTACGTGGAGGCAGAGAAGCCAGCAAGAGAAGTTATGTCTCTCATCGTAATTTTAGCTGAGTAGAAATTGAGTCAATATGCTGGGAAAATACCTCAACCACACCCTTATCATAAGCTGTCAAGTAGATGATGCTTCAATGTAAATTATTGTATTGACACTGATGAATCTGTGATATTTTTTTTTTTTTGCATTTCCCAAGATTGGAAGGACATCATTGATCTTGTATCCAACGGTGCAGTTAGAGAGCAATGAACTCGATCAATTAAGTGGATTGTAAAGGAAAAGAAAGATATATCGTCAATCTACAGTCCAAAAAATAAAATACAGTCATCAGTGAGTCTATTGAAATATTTTTGTATGGAATTTCTTGAGTTTACCAGGTCATGTTTGGAAAATATTGAGGATTAGTCTTATGCATAAATGATACATCAAATTTGATGGCTTTTGGTTGTCTTCAGCCATCTCTTGGAAATCAAGTTGACATCACAAAACTGAGCCCTGTTGCAAAATTATTTGATGGATAAAACTGTCAAGACTGAAAATAAATACTTGATATATACTTACAGGGCGAATTCACTTGAGGAGTATTAGAAACAAAATCTTCATGTGGAGGAGTTGGCTCAACTGACGGAGGAATTTCAGCTTCTTTAGGTTGCTGAGAGCACCTATGATTTACACAAAATGAGAATTAATCAAGAAAGGTCAACACTATAAACTAATAAAATTATTAAATTTAAAAGTATTTTAACAAATAATAGAAGTAAACTAAAATCTAAACACTGAATATGAACACATTTGCAGATCAATATTATTTTAAAAAGATAAACAGTATGATTTGCTAACCCCTCGTGAAATTCAGACTCTAATAGTATCCTTTTCATGACATTTGAACATGACAGGAACTTATATTTGGTACAAAACCAATTTTGAACCTTAGTTAAATGATATATAAGGGGATTGATACTGATAATTATTAATTTATCATTGGATTTGTATTAGTAAATTGACAGAAGTTTAGTCTTACTGTTAACAAATTTTTTAGGAGAGGAGATTCATTAAAGGTGTTGGATGACAAATAAGAGTTGACGACAGTATTTTCATTTTTATTTGGTTTATATTTTTATGGATATAAAGAAATAGTATTAAGCAGTGCAGGGAAAATTTTATTACAAATAACGAATAATAGATAATAATATTTGTTTTTTTAGCTAACGAATACCAAATAAATTGTTATTTATTATCTCAGATAACAAATAAAAAGTTAGATAAATATCATCATTTAAATTTAAATTCATTATTTGTAATTTCCAACAACAAAAAATCAAGTAATTGAATTATTAACTTCTTCTAGCATGCCTGACTAAAAGCAATAAGAATGTGAACAATTTTCTGACTAATCATTCAATTTTTCACTTTTACCTCATGAGGATGAAGGGAATTTGATGGTTCAAGCTATTTTCTGACTGTTTAAAGAAATACTAAAAGAAAAACTGATGTTAACATTTTTCAACATTTTTTTTGGATTGTCTTATTATATCTCGTAAATGTGTGATCGATTTTTCATAGTTCAAATTATTTTTCAACTGCTAAGGAGAAATCTAAAAGAAAAGGAGAGTGAAAATTGCCTACGTTTTGATTGTCACACTGGTTTTCTTTTTAGTCTACTCCTATATAATTGGAAAAAAGCTTGACTATGAAAATCCATTCACACAAGAGATGCGAAATTCAATTCTTATAACTGAATCAATTCTTATGAATCATTCTTCAATTGATTTTTCTATCTTCTTTTTTTTTTTTAATTATAAAAGGTCTTTTTATTTAAAAAACAAAACAAACATTCTTAAACTTTATAAGTTGTTTTTTGACTGATTGAAATTTAAAGTCCTGGTTTTAATGGATACAAATTAAAAGTTATGGATCTTATAAGTAGGAAGGGAGTTTAAATAGGAAAGGAAAAGTTTTTTTTTAAAGTTTACATAATAGATTTTGGTATGTATATCTAAATTGTAAATGAAATGAATAATAATTTTATTAGCCTAGGACTAATTTTATAAAGGGACCTTCCTTTAAAACAAATTATACATACATAGTATATAAAACATGACAGTATGGCAATAGATTAAATTAAATATTTACAAATAGACAATTAAAAATAAAAGTAACAAAGCAAAAATAAACAAAACCGTAAGGTAAATAAGCATAAGTAATAAATGTCCAAAGTGAGAAAGCATCATGGAAGAATAAATTATGAAAGTAAACAAAACAACACAGTAAACACTGGAACACGACTGTAAGATTTCTTAGAACTAATCTTATTGGCATCAGTGAAGAACTGAGGGAGCTACGAGAGAGAGTTCTAGCAGTGTCATCGAGATATGACCAATTCTGATTCCTAGTGAATCGTAATTCCTTCATGCTAATCACTTCAGAGTATGATTCTTTCAGAGGAAACGACTCTTTGACTTGATTCTCCATTCACCAACACATCTTTAATTCGCACGTCCACAAGATATAAAAATAAAAATGAATGAAAAGTTAGAAAATTTTTACATTTGCTCTTTTTAGAATACCTCTAAATATCCAGAAAATAAAATAATTTAAATCACTCTCTAGTTCACAAGATATAAGAGCAAAAGCAAAACATTTTTGAATTGGTATTCAAGTGATTGAAATTTTCAAATGGAGCAGTTTCTTAAAGATGATTTTTATTTTTACTGTCACTTACCTATGTAGGAAATATTTATTATTGCAATTGTGAATCTGAATTTTCAACTGAAATACATGTTTTTAAGTCCCCTGAGCCCAAATTCTTACATATATTATTACAGTAAGGCTCGAAATCGGTTTTGAACCAAATATAAGCTCCTGTCATGCTCAAATACCATGAATGGGGTACCGTTGGATTTAGAATTTATTAGCGAATCGTATTCTCCACTTTTGTTTTTCTTTCTAAAATAAATAAAGTCGATACAAACATTTTGCTAGGCTTCAATACTGGAACAGTGGTAAGTCTGTAGATCGATATGGGACAAATTGGGCTTTGAAGATTATGATGCGTACAGCAAGAGCCGGATAGCTTTGCCTTTTTAAGCCCAAAAACATACTATTTTTGAGATAATGCAAGGCATAGGGTTAGCATCCACACAACCTTATGTTAATTATAGTACTGTCATTGAATACATGTCTCATTGCGTCGACTTGAGGCCCCTATGATCAAGAGAGGAGTTTATATTATTTATAGATGGTGACTTTTGATCGGCAAGCCGTATCATCGTTAATTCTTCACCAAATCCCAAGATTGAGCCACCAATTTTGAAGGCTCCCTTCTCCTTCAGGCGGGCAAAATAATACAATTATCCCAAAAATTCAGGCAAACAAGTTATGAAAGAAACTAAACTTTATTTATCGAAGTAAGCAATTGCCTAACAGGAATCTCTAGACAAATTACTCAAGAATTCATAACTTTGGTTCTACTCAATATTTTGTTTTCATTTCTCAAAATAAAGATTATATTTTAAGTTAAGCAATCCTAAATATAATATAAAAATTTCAAAAGTCTACCATTAGCCATCACCGAGCTTACCCCTGACAAAATTTCGTTGGATAATGTGGACATCTAGACGGACAAAATTTTTTTGAAAAGTGGATTTGGTGTCTGTAATGTATAAAACGGAAAGATATCATGAATTGCGTTGATTCTATTCAATATACAAACAAAACCTTTATTTTATTTATATAGATGTTCTTTAACCTATAAACATATGTTTATTATTAACATTTATTATCCACATTAACCGAGATCTTTCGACAAATTACTCAATAATTCATAACTTCGGTATTACTCAATATTTTGTTTTCATTTAAAGCCTGTGTTTTAAGACAAGCAAACCTTAATACAATGTCAAATGTTCAAAAGTGTACAATAAGCCATTGCTGAGCTTACCCCTGACAAAATTTCGTTTCAATCCAGACATGCAGACAGACAAACAATTTTTTTAAAGTGGATTTGGTGTCTGCAATATATGAAAAGGAAATATATCATAAAACGGGTTGATTCTATCCAATGTACAGACAAAATCTTTATTTTAATTATATAGATTGCTGTAAGTGTATCTATTAATATAAAAAATAATATTGATAACTTAATTTATTTATGTATTTAAATAAATATTTGAAGGAAGTAAGTGGACTTTTCTCATGGAGGATAAATAGTCAGAACACAGTCATTTTAAAAGTTTTGATCAGTGCCGTTTCAAAACAAGCATATGGGTCATCATCAGGGTGTGTTTCGAGCAGTGAAAGCGTTCAAATACTGAACACGTAGTATTTGAGCCCCGATGATGATTTCACTTGCTTGGGTTAAAACGTCGGCACCGATAAAAACCCTAAAAATGATAGCGTCCTGACCATTTATTACTCATAAAAAATATTTATTTATAGGTGATAAATCATGGCTGAAAATCTAGAAGTAAAATTGGAAATAGCGTGATTGAATTCTTAAAAACAACTAGTGCAGTAAAAAAAAAAAATCTGGTGTGTGCAACACACAACTTTCGCTTACAGCTCAACTTTAAATAAAAATTATTTTCTGGTCATGTTGGGATATTATACAATTTTTGAATTGCATTTTTAACTGAGCTAAAGCTAAAAAATTACAGCTAACAAATCATATATACCATTAAAATAAGAAAAGTCCCATTTATTGTATCACCGGTTGATTATGGATTGTACAATCTGTTGATCATGGATTGCACGATCCATTGATTATGGGTTGTACGACTATTAGTTATTAAACTGTTATTTTCCATTGCAAAATTTACTAAAACAGAATTAAGGGATTTGCATCGTATGTCAAAAACAGGTCAAAAGTTGTCATACTAATTGTAAGCGGATACTGTAAGGAAATTTCCTGAACTATTCATTCATTTAATTTTATAAAAGGTTACATGATAATTTTTTGGAATAAATGGACAATATATACCTAAATATTTAAATATAATATCAGATCCAGAGTTATTAAACTACAGTAAATATATTTAAGGTTATAAACGTATCTATGAAATATTTTTATATTTCACTTCTTCTTTCACACAAGTACAATGAAATAGTAGTGGATACTGTTGGAATATCACAAAGGGAAGATTCATCAGATTATTCACTAATTTAATTTTCTAAAAAGTTACATGACAATATTTCGGAATAAACGGACGTTGATACCTAATTATTTAAATATAATATCAGATCTAGAATTATTGAACCACAGTAAATATATTTAAGGTTATGAACATATGCTTTATACATCCATGAAATGATTTTATATTTTACTTCTTCGTTCACACAAGTACAATGAAATAGCTTTTTTAACAATTTCATTGCCTTGATTGGGTGGAAATTAAATAATTTAAAAAAAAAATTAAAAATATTTTAAAAGTTAACATTTAGTTAGTAAATTTCCTTGAAAACTAGGTGATTTACGTTAATTATTATTAGTTTTCAAAAATTATTATTTATAATTTTTTTGCCACTCTCCGTTACCTTCTACAAGTTTCTATATTTGATATTGTTTTTTAAAAAATTCTCAGCTTTCCAACGTTATATTATAGGTATACCTTCGGACTAGTATATCCGGAGATTCATTTTCGACTTGGATAAGCATTTTTCTTTTTTTCTCTTTTATTAAATTATCAAATTCTTTCAAAAGTTATATTTAGCATTTTTTCATAACTCTTAATAATGAGAGATAGTTAATTATTTAAAATAAACCATATTAAAGATACTTTAGAGGAAGACGCATATGAACATTGGGCATTTAAGCCCTGTAAAGTGACATCAACAGGGATTATACCTACAAGATATTAAAGACCACTTAATTATATAATGGTGTAGCGAGTTTAATCAAAATCGTTAGAGCCGTTTTTGAGAAAATTCTAAAAATGTGTTTCAGTGTTGATTTCAGAGGCACTTCCGGGAAGCCGATTTTAAGGAAAAAGTTGCTGTCACATCTAAGGCATACACCTATCTTAAATATGTAAATATCAGTTTTGTACAACTTTTCGTTTTTGAGCTAGGCTGCTAAGATACAAACATACAGACACACAGACCATTTTTCGGGACTTGGTTATTTGGACTCAGGGTGCCCTAAAACGTGTATTTCTGTTGAAAATTCAGATTAAAAAAATTTTCACGATTGCAATACTTACTCTTACTATATATTACATAAATACGTAAGTGAAAGTAATAATATCAACACATGATGGCAAATTCCTAAAATATTGGTCCGTTTCCCTGATATAACCTTGGTTTTTTTTTTTTTTTGCTTTGTGGGGGAGGTTAGGCCATATTCCAAATTTTAGAAGGCCAATTTTTTCTCAAATTATTTTACGATTTAAGTGGAAAGCCTAAGGGCATGAAGTTATAGTATGTAATTAAATTGACATGTTTACTGATTTCTAGATAAAAAACAGCTGATTTTTTAGAACATTTGTACATAAAAATGGGAAGTAGGTTTACAATAAAATTAAGGCACTCATGAACTTGGATGAAGGGATTTATACAGCAGACTATATTATCTGAAAAGTAATTTATGAGAATTATCTAATTAGTGACCCCATGATGAAAAAATATATGATGGTAATAAAAAAAATAATGAAACTTTAGAAAACTATACAGACATAACAATTAAGTTGTATGTGATATATATGGGATACACATACTGATTATACAATAAACAGCACATTTAAAATGAAAATATAATGATGAATTATTAACAGTAGCATACTGTTGCTCTTCTGTGTCTTCTTCAGATTCTTCATCAGAAGTAGAAGAATGATTATCTCTGATAGGACTACTGCCTCTTCTTCGCCAATGTTCATGAATTGGTGAATTAGATGGTGTTGCCCTGCAACAAAATCAGTAAATTTTGTCTGTCATAGATATGTCTGGATTTATAAATTCAAGAAAATGTAGGTTTAATTTATTAGGAGGATCTGAAAGTAATGCTGGTTTTTTACATTCAATGCAAACACATAAATTTCACACGAGTTTTTATTTTAATCAATGCGTTTTTAATTTAATCACCCCCCTTATCAACAATCTTTAGCCATCTAGTGTGCAAATTTTCAATGCAAGATCGACAAAAATCAATTGGTTTTTGAGAAAAATATATAGAGATGGTATTTTGGACATCATCCGAATTTGCAAAATTATTTGCCTTTTAGAAACTGTTGACATGATAGGAACAAATGGAAATCCAATAGTGCGACATCGGGCAAGTATGGTGGATGAAACAGTACCTCCCACCCCAATTTATTAATTTTTACCAGAGTTCATCTTGTGCAGTGCAATCTTGCATTTTCCTGTAGCAGAATAACGCCTTTTTTGTTGACAATCACTGGCCACTTTTCAATTAAAAATTGATTTAAACGATTTAATTGCTCACAATAAAGGTTTGCATCCGCAGTTAGTCCAGGTTTGAGCACTTCAAAATAAACAACGGTGCAAATACTCCACCAAACATATGAAAGAGCCTTTTGAGAGTGCAAACCTGGCTTAGCAGTTCTTCGTGGCCATTCTTTTGGAGAGAGGCACTGCCTTTTGCGTTTTGGGTTATCATACTGGAACCCATTTTTCAACTATGATGATCAAGTGATCAAAAAACGCTTCTGCATTATGCAATTGAAACAATAAGTTGCATATGGTGGTTTCTCAATCTGCTGCAAACGTTTTTGGTTGGTTGAAAAAGTTTGGTTAAGACTGTTTGACAATTCCTCAATCGTCTGACACAAACTTGATTCCACTTCCACTCTTAACACGCCATTGTCTAACGTTGTCGGTCTTACTGACTGATATGAGTCGGAAAGATCAAAATACCGGATTTGAACTTGAAAAACCACCTTTGGCATGTACAAACATCTAATAAATTTCCATAAACATCACAAATATTTATGGTAGCAACTGTAGCATTTTTTTTTCCTGTTGGCATGAGGCACTGCGACCCTTGAGGATCTATTGTGCATCTAAATAAATAACTGTTGCATTACTATCCTTGTGAAACTCAAAAAGCATACAATGCTGGATGTGTTGCTGCTATGATATTTGGCTAGCCATTTAAACAAAAATTGTTTTAAAAAAAATTAATTTTATTATTTAGAACTAAACAATTCATTATAACCTTAGAATGTCTTTGCCACTACATAGATGTAAATAATGAGCTGCCAAATGCTAATCAAATAGTGACACGCTCAAAAACGTCATTGCTTTCTGGCCCCTCTAATATATGTTTGTTAATAAAAATAAATACCAAGTTTCTCCTTCTGCTGATGCTAGTTGTTCTGTTTGAATTTCAAGGGCAGCTACAACCAGAGCTTCCGGAGTAGAAAATGGCACGCCCACTAATTCCATTCTCTGTCTGAGAGCTTGCTTGACACGAGATGCTTCAATCCCCATCTGTAAAGTAGCCTGCAAGGAACAAATAAACATATATTATATTGTTTTGTTAACTTCAGAAATTATTTATTTTACAAATAAAGCAAATAGATTTTATTTTTGAAAAAAGATGTTCAAAGTTTAAAAAAAATTAATAAATTTATGTGAAAATTTCAAACGAAAACCATTCCCAAATATAAAACAAACGTCTGTCAAGTAAAGATCAGTATAGCTTCCTCACCATTTTCATTTGCTAAAAAATATCTATATTAAAATGTATACAAATTTTCTTATGAGGATAAAATTTCTGGAAGAAGCGGTTTTCGGAAATTCAATAATCCCTCAACATATACGGGCTTGATATCCACGAGTTTTGTTTATCAGGCAAATACTAAAATGCAAAAAAGTTCCGCATTAGCAGATTGCATATTTGATAATTCATAATTAGAAAAAAAATTTCAATGCATACTGAATACGCATCTCCGCTGCTGTTAGTGCAAATGACGTATATAACAATTGAGTGTTTTACAGGAGAGCAAAAAAATGAATGATTTCTTCATGATTTATTAGTATGATTTTATATTTTATTAGTATAATTTTATATATTTATATATCTGCTATTTTTCATAGTAGTAGACTACTTATATCAATTGCAGACTACATAATGTCAAAAATAGAATAAAAATTTAAAACTTTTACATACGACCTTTGCACTAACAGTAGTGATATGCACTTAATAGCTATGCTTTCATTTGTAAAATGGATGGTACAAAAAAGAAATAAGAAAAATTCAACTTTTTGTTTGTTCCGAGTTAACGAGACCAATACTTTTCTTCAGTCAGAACAAAACTAATTAAGCTGGAATATAAAAATATGAGTGAAATTGATACAATTTTGATATTGAAGGAGAAAATCGAGACCATGACGAACTTCAATGGAAATAAACACAATCACAAATAAGACGTTTTTATTTTATTAAAAATTACTTTAAATTTACTGAAAATTACCCAAAATCTATGTAATGGCAATAAGTGTCATGCCAATAACGTTTGGAATCGACCAAACAATACAGTATAAATTAACTTTTTGAATAAAACTTACAATTTTATAACCCCATAAAACTACTGTGTTAACCTAACTCCTACTCCATATGATCAGTGCCTTTCACATTTCACAGCCATTATATTATTAACAATTATTTATATTAATTAATGGAATTCAATGAAATTGATACTTAGTATTTCTATACTGTTCTCCAAATTTCCTCCAAGTTTGGGTCAAATCAAATGCGCCGTTTTCAAACTATAGGCATATCAAATAACACTTTTCCTGATCTGAAAGCGGAAGATTTTTTTTTAAGTAGTAGATAGAATTTGATAAAATTGATGCCTATTTCATTTTTTGTTTACCAATCCCTAAATTCGCTCCAAATTTCAGCTAAATTGAACTGGCGGTTTTAGAGATATAGATCAAGGAAAACATGTATGCGCATATATAAGAGAAAGCAATGGACAAAATTCAATCAAATTGATTCTACATCATTTTTTTACAAATATCTACCTTTTATCCAACTTTGAGCCTAATCGAACGAGCCATTTCTGAAATATTGGCATGTCTACAAAAATACATTTGATCATGCGCAAGCAGAAGTGCTGGTTAGAATTAAATAAAATTGATATGGGAATCCCTGAAAATTTCATGAAAATTGGATAAACAGTAGTAGATGATATGCCTGTTACATCGATTTGACTACAGACAGACAGATAGACAGATACCAAACCAAATTTGATCCTTGATGTCTGAAACATAAAACGAGAGTGAACATTTTCGATTCTGAGCACAAATTTTTTTTTTAACCTCTTGCAATGCTTTTCTACCTTCGGTAGTGAGGATGCAATATATAATTCCTTTTTAAGATTTTATATTCTTGTTTTATTAAAACTGATCCCATAGATTGTTCAGTAGATTTCCAACAAAACATGAATAGAGAACAAAACATATTGTTCAGCAAACACAGGATAATATCTTATGTGCCATAAATATACTTCCAAAATTTAAAAAATTAATCAATCATAGATTTATATTTAAAATTTACTGAATTATTAAGCAAAAATACACTTGAAATGATCTGAATAGAAAATATATGTATATCATGTATGGTAAGGCCTATCATATGTAAAGAAGACGAGCTATTGTATTAGTATTGCTTCCCCACTACCAAAGGTAGGAAAGCTTTGTATTCGTATGGGAGGTTAAAAAATATTGGTGTTAAGAATCGAAAATTTCCACTCGCCTTTTATGTTTCAGACATCAAGGATCAAATTTGGTTCAGTGTCTATAGTCAAATCGATCTGATGGCCATGTCACCTATTACCCTTTATCCGATTTCATGAAACTTTCAGGGATTGTGCGGGTTAGTGTCTTGACAGTCCCATATCAATTTCATCAAATGTCATTACTTATTTTAAGAATGTAGAACTTTTACAATAATTCAACCAAATAGAATTTAAATTAAACTACTCACGATTACAAATGGAGTATTCATCAAATCCTGCAATTGCTGTTCAGTAACTGAATGAATTCTTGTAACTGGTGAATCTCCTCTAGTTTTTACATCATTGTATTTAGAACCCTTTAAAAAAAATAATAATAAAATTATAAAAAATAAACAAAAAGTAGTTTATCATTTAGTTTTAGTTGTGTAATGTATCTAATACATAAAATTGCAAAAGAGCCCTACTGATGACAATAGGAGGTAAGATAGATAATGAAAGAGTTACTGGATACTGCTCCATTCCTATGGGTCATTGGTATCAATTTTTTAATTGGATCACATGATGCACCTTAATCAAAACCTTTCTAAATAAATGGCCAATCAAATGAAAAACAAATTCTTCAAATCAGTTAGTTCCTTAAATTATCATATTCAAACACATACTAATTTAAATATTCTTCAGCTTATATATTATTATACCATATGTTAAGTAAAGTTGGATAATAACCACAATATTTTGAACTCCTACTGCCCGGGCTTCATCTACAAATTCTTGGCCTTTAATAAGAAGAAGAAATCCACAATGAGGAAACCAACGAGCATGCTCAAGCCAAGGATCATCTTCTCTTTCCCAAAGACGTAATCCACCATCACAGTGGAAGCACCTCACTTGATCACCTCTTCCTAAAATACGAAATAGTTCAGAACTAATTAAAAATATAAATTATGAAGCTAACAAAGAAATACAATACAGTAATGAAATACAATACATGATTAAATAAATACAATAATAAAATAAAATATCCAGAATAAAAAGTTACATCTAAGGGACAAGGAGAAAACATGGAACAGATTGCAGTAAGTGTATGATCTAAGATTTTTCAAATTCTACCTTCGCTTGCTCTATTAAGTAAAGGTAAGCAATAAAATATCTTGGGAGCGGGAGGATAGGTTCTTGCACCATTGACCTTGGGGAGGAGATGGGTATACTTGACTACCATATACTTGACTTATATATGTAGCTTCAGTTAGATACCACACTTTTCGAAAAACTTCCTTATTCAATGAGCTTTACTTTCTTTCTTTTTTTTTTCTTTTCATGAAGGGTCTTGGGCAGAATACTATTTAGGGAAAGCACTGTTTCTTGGTCTACGGTTGTGCAAGGAGATAATTTGACCGAGATCATGCTCAACCACCAGGTTTTTCTCCTTAATTAATTATTTTAATTAAGAGTACCCACTTTATAGAGGCTGGGCGTGAGACAGGAGGGTCTACCTACCCAAGATTGTCCGACAGCCAATGAAACAGAAGAAATAACTTTTCTGCCATGAGCCGGGATTCGAATCTGGGACCTTTAGCATTTGAAGCTCAGTACCCTACCACTGAGCTACCCCGCTCCCTGTTCGATGAGTTTCAAGTCAATAATAATTAAATTGAATTTACGTTTTCTCTAACTGAGTAAAAAAAATCTGGTGCTAGCAACACACAACTTACTTACCGCTCAACTTTGAATAGAAATTATTTTCTGGCAATGTTGGGCTATTATGCCATCATGCTATTGCCTTGATTAGGTGGATTTTAAATAGTTTTTCAAACTTAAAAAATATTTTTAAAGTTTACATTTAGATAGTAAATTTCATTTAATTTCCTTGAAAACATGTGATTTCCATTAAATAATATAAGTTTTCAAAAATTATTATTTATAATTTTTCGTCACACTTCAATACTTTATACGACTAATAGATAAACATATTAGATATGTTTTTTTTCTAAAATTCTCCACTTTCCAATGATATATTTTACATACACCTTCTGACTGTTATTTCCGAAGATTCATTTTCAACCTGGATAAGCATTTTTCTTCAGTTTCCAAATATCATATTTTTTCAAACTTCATATTTAGCAAGTTGTTATAATTACTGTCAATAAAAGAGAGTTAATTGTTTTAAATAAAGCATATTAAAGGTACTTTAGAAAAAGACGTATATGAACATTGGGCTTAAATGCCAGTGTACTGTAAAGTGACATCAATGGAGATGAGACCTAAATAATATTAAAGATCACTTAATTATACAATGATACACCGTGTTTAATCAAAATGGTTAGAGCCATTTTCGAGAAAATAGTAAAAATGTGTAACATCGATTATATAAAATGCAACACTTATCGCAATACTTTCTCTTACTATATATTACAAATATAGGTAAGTTGAAATAAAAAAATCTGGTGCGCACAACACAAAACTTTCACTTACCGCTCAACTTTGAATAGAAATTATTTTCTAGCCATGTTGGGCTATTATATTTTTTGAATTGGATTTTTTAACCGAGCTAAAGCTAAAAATTACACCTAACAAATAATAAATATTATTAAAACAACAAAAGTCCTATTTATTATATCACCAGTTGATTATGGGTTATACAATCCATTGATTATGGATTGTATGATCTGTTGATTATGGATTGTACGATCTGTTGATTGTGGATTGTATGACTGTTAGTCATTAAACTGTTATTTTCCATTGTAAAGTTTGCAAAAATGGAATTAAGAGATTTACATTGTCTGTCATAGACAGATCCAAGTTGTCACACTAATTGAAAGTGGATACTGTTGGAATATCAAAAAGGGAAAATTCACCAAATTATTCACTAATTTAAGGATGCATCTCAACTTACTCGGTAACAAACCACAGCCTAATTAATATAGACTTAAAGCTCATCAAACAAGGAAGTTTTTCTGAAAGTGTAATATCTTCAGTCACTAGGGGATCCAGGATTTAATTTTGGAGAGCGAAGGCTTCAGCCCAAAGGATTTTTTTTTTTCATATATATATAACGATAAATAATTTGAAAAAAAAGAAGAAGAAAACTAACTACTCATATGACATGGTGACTTAGTGATTCTTGAAGTCCTATTAAATGTAATTAAACGAACAATAATACTTTAAGAGATAGTTTTAAATATTTTTTCTATAAAACATGGTTATATTTTACCATTTTGGGGAGGGGAGCTTCAGCTCGAAAGCCCCCCTTCTCTCCCCCGTAGATCCGCCTGTGTCTTCAGTCCAGTTGAAGGATTATAAAAAAAAAATCGCGAAGAATTCTTGAATTTATGAAAAACCGAATATACCGTAGTTTGACTGCTTAAAAGTCCCCTTTATGGTTTTAAAAAATACAAGATTTACTTGTATTAATTGTACATTTAATCAATTTTACTACGAAGTAATCAGCTGTAACCTAAATTTAACATTTTTTTAGTGATTCTTTTTTATCCAACATAAAATGTGGTTGGATAAAAATTACAAAAATTATATATTTCAGTTTTCAATGACTTTTAAGAGTCATTAAAAGAAAAGCAAGCAACTTTGAATAATAATTTTAACGATCAAAAATGATAAAAAACTAATTAAACTTAAAAAAATCTATCATCTACTATGAACATCACTAATTTTGTGCTTTGGAGCAATTTTTGCTTGAACTGAAAATGTAATAAATATAATCTCATAAATATCTCTATCCATTGATTTTATCACAAAAATGTACCCGGTCATTTTTAAAGAGATTTTGAAGTCCTTTAATATTGTACAAAACGGTCTTCAAAAAAAAAAAAAAAAAAAATCCCCATCAAAACCCAACACGGAATTCGCATTAGTAATATGCTAAAAAAAAATAATATTACTTCAGTAACACATTCAAAATTTAAAAACCAAACACAGGATATATCATTTGGAGTAGAACCTATAAAAAAAACAAAAAAAAACCGGAGACCATATCTTTGCTGCTAATTGTCCGATTTTAACGATTTTTTTTTTTTAAAGGAAATTTCGTAAACTTTAAGAAACCATAATATATAATAATAATAAGGCTTAGCGAACCCGAAGGTTCGATGCCGACACCACCAATCGCTTGTTACACACCTCCCTCCACCGTTCGCCGTCCAAACCCAGTCCCTTCAGATCGGCTTTAATGCAATCTTCCCACCTTCGCTTCGGTCTACCCCTCGGACGCTTACCATTCGGCACAGCAAATATTAACCTTTTAGGAATTCTCTCGTTACTAAGCCCAACAACTTTACAAGCTCATTTGATTCGCCGCGAAGAAATTACCTCAATTATATTACCCGGATACAGCTCACGCAATTCGGCGTTGTGTAACCGTCTGAACTCTCCGGTTAACTCATCCTTCTTCGGTCCGAATATATAATATATAATATCTATAATATATATAATATTATAATATATAATATTATAATATATAATATCTACAAAAAATTTGAGTTACTTTTTGAGTTATTCGGAATTTAATTTTACCATCCCTCGTTACTTTTTTTCCAGCTTCTTTTCGTTGAAATATGTTATACAGAGAAATTTAAAGGGCCTCGGGAAAATGACTTTATTGAAGTTTCATTAAAATCGGTACATTCGTCTAGGAGCTACAGTCTATAGTAACGCAGGTTTTTCGGCCGCTATTTTGAAAGTAAAAGATGGATAGTAATGTCGATGAAGGAGGATCATCCTCGGGTGATCTCAGATTTTATATCAAAATTTGATAAAAATAGGTAAAGTAGTTTCGGAGAAAATGCGCGGGCGGCGGAAGGACAAACAAATTTTATAAGTTTTTCGAATTCTATGCATCCTGAAACGTGAAACCTCAAATTTTGAGAGGGGGTTAAGTTTTTGAATTTTTCGTTTGATCACAATGGTTGATTATTGAAAATAATAAACCAAAAACAACTTTTCACTTAAAAATATTTCAAGACTATTGTCGATAACAATTATTTGTAAATAATGCAGTTTTACTACAAAAAGTTGTGATAAATATTCATAACTATTCTTCCTAACAACGAACTCTAGACTAAGGTGTGTGAGTATGTCTTCTACTAAATAATGCAGTTTTACTACAAAAAGTTGTGATAAATATTCATAACTATTCTTCCTAACAACGAACTCTAGACTAAGGTGTGTGTGTATGTCTTCTACTAAATGGTAAATATTATAATTTTACTAAAAAAAAATATTTCAAATATCTTATATGTATAATAAAATAAAATTATATATACACCAACCTGTAAAATAAAACCCAGCTTCTGCTAAATCGTGAGGTTTCTGAGTCAAAGAGGGAGGCCACTGGCTGAAAGTGTTTAACCGTGAATCATAAGTTGAGAACTTGCCATGCCTCGGAATTCTGTGGTCTTGGACTCCTAGTTCCTTCAGACTTTCGTAACTTGCTACAATGTTCCAATGATATTTATACAATACAGGATTTCTACACCAATGCATTAATATTAAACTTACCTTCAATACTATCTACTTCAGAATTGCGTATACTAATGCCCGACTGGTGTGCTATTCTCATATCTGATAGCATTTTATTTCGTATAAAAGAGCAATTGGGAAACAGCCTTCGATGTTCAATATCTGGATCATCACCTACTTCCCATTTTTCTACAACTCCTTGACAATAGGCACAGCGGACCTTAAAAATTTTATTATATTATCATGGGAATAAATAATTCTGTCAACAAGTGGATTGTTCGGACATTAAGAGCAAATGATTTATTAATGTTTAGTTGTAGTCGTTTTCATTGGTTCCTGCTTAATTATGGTATTAGTATTCTAGGCTATACTTATTTCTGACTCATCCTACTGTAGTTATTATTTTTGTTTTTCGAAAATTCTTTATTGAGATGCATTACAATCTGTCTCATCAAAGGACAATAGTAATAGCGATAGAAGAGTACATTCACACTATGTACAATAAATACAAATAAATAAACAGAAAAATAAAAATACTAAAAGTAAATATATATATATATATACTAAACAAATCAAAATAACTACTTAAATACACACATGCTCTAATACAATATTTACAAAATTAATTAATGAAAGGGTCTAAGGGTGAAAGAACAGATCTAAGGGGAGGGGGAGAGGAAGCTTTCGGGCTGAAGCCCTCCAAAAGAAAGATGCCGTTCTTGAACAGCAACAGTGGCAGAACGGCACTGGATATGTGTTATTGTTTTAAAAGATTCAATTATCATTCTTCGTAAGGAATGAAGGTCATTTACCGTACTTGCTCAATCATATTCCATATCCCAATCAATAGATTGGCCGTTAAGGACCAGTGGCTTGCCATGTACGCTCTCCAGATCTGGATTTTTGTGTTTGGGGTGACATGAAACAAAAAGCCTATGCAAGTACGGTCAATGACCTTATTCCTTACGAAGAAGGACAATTGAATCTTTTGAAACAATAACACATATCCAGTGCCGTTCTGCCACTGCTGCTGTTGAAGAAAGATGCCGAGCTTGTCTTGACACTCACGGAAATCACTTTGAACAACATTAAATAAGAATGTTAATGTTTACATTGAATTAATACAGTAGTAGTTAGAACAAATAAACAGGTTATATTTCTTTCATATAACGTAAATAATTCACAACATTGAAAATCTTTAGGTGTGAATATCTCCTAAACAAAGCGTTTGCGGACATACCTTCAGAGGATTTTTTTTTTGTTGTTTTGAGGTCCTTGGCTCATTTTTGCAGTTTGACCACTTAAAACAGAAACATTCTGTATATGAAAAATCTGGTGCGCGCAACATACAACTTTCACTTAACACTCAACTTTGAATAGAAATTATTTTTTGGCAATATTGGGCTATTATAAATTTTTTTTTTCATTTTTAATCGAGCTAAAGCTAAAAGCTTAAAGCTAACAAAACATAAATACCATTAAGATAACAAAAGTCATATTTATTATATTACCGGTTGATTATGGGTTGTACGATCCATTGATTATGGGTTGCACGATCCGTTCATTATGAATTGTATGACTATTAGCTATTAAACTGTTTATTTTCCATTGAAAAGTTTACTAAAACGGAATAAGAGAATTGCATTATCTGTTATAGACAGGTCAAAAGTTGTCACACTAATTGTAAGTGGATACTGTTGGAATATCACAAAAGGAAATTTCATCAAACTATTCTCTAATATAATTTTCTAAAAGGTTACTTGATGATTTTTTGTAATAAAAGGATGACAGATACCTAAATAATTTAATTTTCTAAAACGTTAGATGATAATGTTTCGGAATAAACGGACGTTAATACCTAATTATTTAAATATAACATCGGATCTAGAATTATTAAACTACAGTAAATTTATTTAAGGTTATAAACATATGCTTTATACATCCATGAAATGATTTTATATTTTACTTCTTCTTTCACACAAGTACAATGAAATAGATTTTTAAACAATGTCATTGTCTTGGTTAGATGGGGATAAGACCTAATTGATATTAAATACCACTCAATTATACAATGATACACCGATTTTAAGGGAAAAGTTGCTGTCGCATCTAAGGCATGTACCTATCTCAAATACGTAATATAAGTTTCGTAGGACTTTTCGTTTTTTAGCTAGACTGCTAACATACACACACACACATACCATTTTTTTAGGACTTGGTTATTTGGACTGAGGGTACCACAAAACGTGTATTTCCGTTGAAAACTCAGATTCAAAAATTGTCTCGATCGCAAGACTTACCCTTACTATATATTACATATATACGTAAGTGAAAGAAAAAAAACTTTCTTGCTGAAGCTTCCCCCCAAAATTAAATCATGAATACATTAGTGATGAAAGGAGCGACTAGAGAGATAGGATCGTAGGATTAGGTATAAGGGAATGAGGGAGGTGGATTTTAAGCTTGGAAAAATTGCCGTAGTGCCATACTCGGTCAAAGCCTGAGCAATGGCCAGAAATGCTGCCGAGCAGCACTGTTTGTTTTTTAGGGCTGCTGATAAATGATCAACGACTCAAAGTCCTTGTTGACCAGTGGAGTGTTTTGAGCGAAAACGAAACTGAGAGGAAAGAAGATTTGGGGATTCTATGAGGGGTAAGATTCGTTTCAAAAGGATCTTTTTAAAATTTCTGAAAGGATTGGGAGTAGGCTAATTGGTCTATATGATGTCAAGCTGTTGGGAGGTTTGCCTGGTTTTAGGAAAAGGATAATAGTGAAGTGTTTCCATAATAGAGGGTAGAGAGTGGTACGTAGGATGCAGTCGTAGATATATGTAAGGAATATGACTGCTTTGGATGGAAGTTGACGAAGGATCGGAGGAGTAAGGAGGTCATATCCAGGAGATTTACGGAGTATTAGTTTTTGTAATTGAAATTTTACTTCGGAAGGATGAATTGCTTTAGGGGGCAAGGAAAGTGGGATAAGTGATGTAAGGAATTCCTCTACTGTTACAGTGTGGGCGGGATAGGATTCCGGATGTGAAATAAATTTATTAGATAGGCGTCTGGCGAAATTCTTTATCTTATCGCTTTATCTTCGTCAGATGTTGCCCAGGAGCTGTCATCTCATCAGAGGGAAATTCGGTGAGGGTTTAGGATTTTTGTTGTACTTTCCAAAAGCAATTGTCACGAGCAGAGAGGGAGGATAGGTAGGAGTTGAAGGATTGTGATCTGAAGGTGGCTAATTCCAGTTTTAATGTTTTACAGTAATAATTATAGGAGCTGCGGTCGGTGAGATTTCTAGAACGTTGCCATAATAATCTGATTCGGCGTTTGATGTGGATTAGGTCAAGGAGGTGTTGGGGAAGAATCGTCTTTTAAGGAATTCTTGGGTATGGGGCGGGGTGGCCGAATAGGCTAAAGCGTGTGCACAACACCGCTAGTTGCCTGGCAACCGGATAACAGAAATTTGAGATGATATAAAAAGTACGAGTTCGCGTCCCGGTGCCGGAGGGGATTTTAAATTCCCCGCCCTCACCCCCCGGCCCGGGAAAATCCCGTATAGCCTAAAAGGCGAGGTAGGGAAGAACAAAAAAAAAAAAAAAAAAGGAATTCTTGGGTAATGTTTTGGGGTTGGAGAAAGTCCAAGCAGCTTGTTAGATTGTACTAGTAAAGGAATTGACGGCACTATCTATGTCATCGGGAGTCTTTAGGAATATATTCAGTTCAATTTTACCGGAGAGGATTTGGCTGAAAAGGTTCCAGTTCACTGGGTCCCTGATAATTGACGGTGGAGAAGGTTTGGGAACGGGTTCAAGTGATGTGTAATGGAACAATTGAGGGAACCTAAATCGCTGTGGATAAAGAAATCAAGGATAGTAGGATTACGGTTAGGATCTGTGAGCCAGTAGGTAGGATAGTTGGAGGAAAGGAGGTGAAAATGTTGGGAATTGAGTGCAGAAAGCAGGAGTCGGCCACGATAATTCGTGTTTGGAAACTCATTGTTGGTGATGGGCATTTAAGTCTGCACCCAAGATGAAGTGATGTCCTAAGGAGTCGATGAGAGAACTGAATTGGGTAATGGATATGGATCTGTTAGGAGGGCAATACGCTGATGCAAGGATAACCGGAAAGGAGAAGGTTTTTATTACGATAGCGGTGGATTGTAGGTAATGGTAGTAGGTGATGGGAGAGGGTTTGGTGTACAATGACAGCAGTACCGGCATGTACTCTTCCGTCAGTGGTCAGTACGGTATGTCAAGTATTGGGGTATTTTGAAGAGCTGTTTAGTGGTTAGTCGAGTTTCAGTAATTAGTGCCACGTCAATGTTCTTGTCAAGTAATATTGCAGATATTTCGTCTGTAAGATTTTTTCGTTACTTTCCACTTCCATCACTTCCGAAGGAGAATGGATATAGGTTTATTGGAATTTTTGGGTGAGAGATAAAATATGATACAAGATTGGTGAGAGTAAAAGATGTAAGTAAACAGGTGGGATGGGTAGTATTTGATGGAGGAGGAATGTGAGGAATTTGGTGTTGATAGAATTGTTGAGTTTTAGGTGAAGTTTGAGTTGTAGGATGTTGAGAGTGGGGTTGAGAATTTTGAGGTATATATTGTTGTTGCGGCAGGGTTTCACAATTAGTAATGTCGTTCTTTCCTCCTAATATGCCTGCAAAAGACACCTTCGGGTAAATGTCTTTGGAAGGTTCTTTTCTTGATCCGGATCTTTCAGTTTCTTCTTGGTACTGGGATTTCTAGTATCTGGATTTGATATTCTTGTATATCTGGCAACCTTTGTAGTTCACCGGATGCCCTTCATAGCAAAAAGCGAGCATTAATTACGTGTACTGGACTGACTACCATCGTTTTGTCATGGATCAGATATCAGTGTGGACAATGCAAGACTTTTGTTGGTTTACAAGTGCAAAAATCCATTGATGATCAATTGCGTGCGAATGGGAATACGTACCGATGAGAAATAATCCTGATGATCACATATAGCGAGACTTAAATCCAGGGGTGATGAAATAATGAAAGTATCTTCAATTAAAAGTTTTATTCAACTCAATGAAGCAGTATAAATTATAATATTTATAAAACACGTGTTATTTTAAATTAGGATAAATTGATAACATCAGGAGAGATGACAACCTGCAGGAATTAGGTGGAGTGAGAATAGTGATAGAAAGTGGCCTATTTCCTGACATTTTTAAGGAATCAAC